GACGTGCTTATTACGAAAATCACATCTGCTTAGCAAGAGAGCTTTATATTTCAGGGTCATGGTGAAAAAAATTTAGAGCGACATGATTTTTCCACAATTCGCCGGCCCTTCTATTTCCTTTGAAAAGAAATCTGCGGCCACTATTTAGCGCTCATAATCTAGAGAAAAGTACTATCAAAAGATCCTTGCTGGAATTTACTCGGGACAATGCTCGCTGCTTTACACCTTCGCGAAGAGACGTCCGCAGAAAGATTCAAGAATACTGAAATCGGATTATCAAGAACAAGCTGCTTACGGAAAGATTCGCCTTGATAAGCTGAGCACAGCGCTGTTTTCGGACTCAACATATACTTGCTCCGAAGAAAGTTATGGCGAGTAGAATTTAGAACACGTGATTTTTCCAGAATTCACCAACGCTTTTACCTCCTTTGGAAAGAAGTCTGAGCCTAGTTTTTAGCGCACAATAATCTAAAAAAACAGTTTTATCGAATAGTGATTACTGGCATCTTCTATGTTGGATAGGAGCTGCTTCACATCTTTGCGAAAGACTCCGCAGAAGGATTTGAGAAAACTGAACGGAGCATCGAAGACATCGTACCCCCAGAAGATGCTATCAAAAGATGCTCCGCGCCCTGAGTCAAATGATGGCTTCGGATCCAGAATTTGTCCACTTTGAAGCGAGATATGGCCACGCGATGGCATACATTAGGGGACCGTCACATCATTCATGCGACCGTCGCCCGACTCACGCGACCGTCGCATAAGGCCTAAGGCCTAAGGCATACCTCCCACGATCCCAGTCGCGTCGCAAACTCCAACATCGTACATATGTTCCGAGTCCGCAGCGCAACTGTGTGGTCCCGCCGCCGTGTTAGATTGACGCCGCGACGAATCGCGGGCCGTTTTTGGACGAGCATACCTCGGCAGGGAAGTCGTCGCGACATCGCTTAAACTCAGCGATGTCGCCGTCGCTAGGTCCGACCCAGCGATGAGCGAATCGCTCGGATAGTTTCTTGTTTGTTATGAAGTTTTGTATTTTTTTGCCAATGCAGATTTCATTTAGGACTATTCCATCTCACACAAGCGCTTCTCTCTGCATGGGAGAAGGATGGTCATCGAAAATTCCATGCTATTAGTCCTTGAAAACAACACATGCGAGCTATATAGTATGGAATGTTTCCCACATGTCGCCTTACCCTCTCCTTTAGCATTTACTGTTCTCGCAATGTATTAGTCTTTTCCTGTTCTTGTTTATTGATTACAAGTAGTGACCGAATCTCAAATGTTCCTATATGATTTCCGAAGTGGATAGAATAGCTGTGCAATCTCAGTCGCTCAGACATATATTGTTCATTGTCTGACTAAGAGGCACGAGCACGCTTCGCGTACGTCCCGTTTATGAGTTGCTAATGCGTTTTAACGCGATTTGATAAGTCACTATTGGGAATTTGTGCATAAACATGATCGAACTCGCGTTGTTTTACGAGCTGGAACATGTCACCAAGAACCTTACTCGTAAACTTGTTAATTAAACGTACGCAAAGCTTGCCGGTGTCTTTTAGTCAGAGAATGAATTGAATGATGTTATAAGCGTTCGCAGATTAACATACAAGAGCTCGCCCAGCACTCGTTGTTGAAATAGCCTACTCAGAGTTTTCCACAAAGACAAAAGAATGATTTTACAACAAAGCTAGCCTATATGCCTACCAGTTACTGAAAGAGAACTCAAATAACTGCTAAACTTGCTCCAGTAGACATTGATAAATACTGGGATGTGTGTGAATCCATATCCTTTCTTGTTTGATGTGATCTTCTCTTGAAGCATATGGCGCCACATTCTGCTCGAGTTCTCTCGAATAGATGCACTTCAGAGAATTTAGCGCAAGTTTTCCAAAACTGCGTATAATGCGGTGTGGTGTGTGAGCGTTCCCAGAATCGCTACGGGTATGCCCAAGAGTCGAGCGATGGGCGATTTTGACGCAACGAACGGTCGCCCAGGCAGTCTGGTGGCAGCGATCGAAAATCGTGACGACTGGATCGCTGGAGGTATGCCTTAGGCCTAAGGCATACCTCAAGCGATTCCAGTCGCTGCGCGATCTGACATTGCAGCGACTCTTCATACTGGTCGTGAGCGCGCTTTGTACGAGCCAGAGTTGAAGCTTTTACTGTAACTTACGGAAGCTACGCGCCTATTAGTTTTAGACCCGCGCACGGTTGATTTGTAAACATCTGGCAAATCGCCAAGTCGCGTGGATGTAACGATTTGACTAAATCGCGTGAGGTATGCCTTAGGCCTAAGTCCGCCTACATTCGCGTTTATTTTTCATTCTTCAGTATGTTTGAAGCGTGAGTAGTATAGAGTTGTAAGCTTTCTTTTGAGTAGATGGGAACCAAAGAGATATCTGGAGTACCAAAACATGAAGCTTCCCGCTTCTTGGAGGAAACTTTGTAGCATGCAGCTCGGAAGGTTCCCACAAATTTCCTTTCACATGCTTTCCTACCGCCTTTTTCCTGAGCGAGCCAAAGCTCTCCAGACTTTTACAAACCTCAAAATTTCATAGACAAATTGCTTGTACTTCAACGCATGAAGAGTTTTGAGCCAAAATGTCAATTTCTTTCTCTTACCGGAGCTTTTCTACGAACTATAGATATACCTTGGCTGCCTTAATATTTTTGGTCAAGCTGCGCTTAACTTTAGTGTTCAAAAACTATGGCGAGGCTTTTGGATTCGTCTCGATATTTACTGTAAAATTTTTCGCCAGTTTTCTGAACTCTGAAAACTTCCAGTAGGTTTCCCAACCAAACTTCTCTTTATTAAAGTTTAGGTTTCTTCTACTTTACATGCTCTCATTCACAACCATTTCGACCTGCTTGTCCTATTCTTAGTAGCCTTCCTACGTAGCCTACTCCTTCTTTGATGAAAGATCAAAAATCCCACTACCTAATTTGCCTAACAGGCTCCGGCAAGGCTTTTATAATTCCAGTTGTCTTCGTAGCAGAAAATGCCCTCAGAAAGTGACAAAAGTTTGCAAATTTTGTCTTTTTAGACCAACAAATGCTGTATCAATGACTATACTTAATATGCTTCATAATCAATGTCTCGTTGAAGTATTCCAAATAAATCAATTTCTCGTTGAAGTATTCCAAATAAGTGACCAATACTATAGTCTAGAGCACCTCTGCCATTGTACTTCTCAACAACACGCGTGCCGAATCAATTGGGGGTTAGTGAGCAATTATGCATGAGGGAGGGGTTGGGAAGGGTGGAGCAGTTGAAACTATTTCGAACTAATTCCATGTGTAACTTTGAGACCAACCACAGATGTTTTCAAATTTCGCCAAAGTGAGCGTACAAGATTTCATGAGCGCGCGTAAAAATGCGATCCTATGTAAGTGTATCAAAGAATCAAAAAACACGATTTGCTTAAATATACCCGTGATGGCGAGATATTTTCAGCAATAAAATAAGGTAATGGACAAAAATCTATAATTTGGATTTCTTCAAAAAAAATCACTAACCCCTTTAATAATGATGGGGTATTTCACATTATAAACAAATGGTTTAAGGTTTTTGAGACTGCAAAAGACCGCTTGCCCGCCTAATCCCCTTGTACTGAAAGGAACGACAACTTTATAGCAAAAATCAAGCTTATTGATTTTACTACAATAACGCTCACAGAGTGTGCATTGTCGTGTGTCGCGGAATTGCGGGTATCCCGCATAAGTCCGCGACATTCCTGGAATCCCGCGACAATCCGGGAATTTCGCGGATCACGCGAATCACGCAAACTACGCAGCGTCATGACTTCTTTGAATATCCCCTGAATCCGGAAGCAGCATTGTGTTCAGCTCGTCAAGGCGAATCTTTTGATGTACAGCATTCTCTCGATAATCTGCTTCCAGTTTTCTCAAATTCTTCTGCGGAGGTCCTTTCGCAAGGAGTAATGCAGCGTATAGTGAGCTAAAAAGTAGCCATAGACTTCTTTTCAGAAGAGATAGAAGCGTTGATGAATTCTGAAAAAAATCACGCGTTCCCGAAATCTACTTCCTTCAGAATAGATATATTTCAAGTTCGAAAAAAGCATTGTGCTCATCTCACCAAAACGAATCTTTTGATATACTCCTTGTCCCTGATATTCCCATTTCAGTATTCTTGAATTTTTCTGCGGACGTCTCGTAAAGCTATTAAGTAGCGCTGCGCACATTGCCCCTAGTAGATTCTAGCAAGGATCTTTGGTAGTACTTTTTCTGTGGATTGTGGAGCGCTGAAAATAGCCGTGGACTTCTTTTCAAAGGAAAGAGAAGGGTGGTAATATGGAAAAAAAATCATGTCATTCTAAATTTTACTCTCCATAACCCTAAAATATGAAGTTCCCTAGCTAAGCAGATGTATTCGTCATTAGCAGCTCGGATAACCTCCATGGGCAAGTTTTCCGAAATGTTCGGGTTATTTCATTTTACCTCGTTTGACACATTTTGATCCAGATGTTAATGATCGCATTGTAAGGAAACTTCGCTTATAGAGGTTTTCGAACACGTTGTTTATGAAGATCTCTGAGGAATACATGGTCTCTTTGCAGAGATGCGGTGAGGTAACTGAGCCAGAAAGTTCTTTGGCGCTTCTTGCGTATCTCTCAGAAAACTTGCTCGCTTGCTTTTATAGGCTAAAATTACTGGGAGCTGTGCCATCAAAGGGTGTATGTCTCAGGCTCCAGTCTATAAAAACGGTAGAGTTAAAAGCCTAGAGGAGTTGCTTGCGGTATGCTATAGAGTGTCGGTTTCGAGAAGAAGTACCCACTGTAATTCCACAGAATGCTTACCCTTATGCACATATTGATTTATAAAAGGAAAACAGCCAGACGCGGGAGCTAGGTTATAAAGCTCCAATCGGCGCAAAAGCGGCTGTCGGCTGCAAAACTTACATTCGGCGCGGTCTGGAAACTCCCTAAGACTGGCGCATCACCTAAAAAAATTTATGAAGCAACATGCAATGGACTTACTGTTGTCCAAGGAGAGGGAGGAATTGGAGTAGTGGGAGCGGCAATCGAGGGCATTAGCAGGTCGCGTAGTGTCCTAGTAAGCAAAAAAATTGTCTTTCAACAAAATCATAGAGTTGGAGCAGGGGATACAGACACTGCATGCATACAGTGGCGTGTGTTTGTTCGTAGGTTCCAAGCTAATTTTTTTCACTAATGTTGCTTAAGATTGATCAAAATATTGCGCGAGCATTCGTATTATCTTATAAGCTGGCATACCCGGTTCTGCCGATCCTGTTGAGAGACCGCCATTACCTACCTCTAAACGAAAATTCCCTTCCTTGCCTCACCTCTGAAGGCCAGTTCTCAGCTTTCATTACGCCATCGTAAGCTTACCGCCTGTAGCGACTCCTAACTTAGATCAGAGTTTGCAAAACATATATAAACTGCTGCATGAAGAAGGCGCAATATCTTTGGGCGCGAACGCGGCTTTTTTAGACGCAGAGCGCATGAGACGCTCTGCGTCTAAAAAAGCGCAGAATTTACAACGGTGAAGATACGCGTGCGCCGCCTCCACGAACCCTCAGCTGATACGGCTGCGCCTTCGTCATGCAGTAGCCTTTAAATATTCTGGATTATTGCAATAAATGATTTCACAGATCACTGTCACTTTCGCTGTAGGCAGCTTGCTTATCCCCTGTACCAACTCCCATCGCCACAACCAAATTTTGCAAGTAATAAAGAAAATAGATGAGCAATTCATAATCATGGCAAAAAATAATGCATTCATAATCAGCATGCTCGCATGCCCCGTATCCCAACTGCCAGATCTCCAATATAGAGCTTGCAAGGAATTGATAAAATCGATGAAAGTAATCAAGAATATGAGATCGTTCTATAATAAAGAATGGGAAGGGTTTGCATCTCAATACTGTGGCCGTATTCATCAACGAACCCTGAGGGTTAAACTAACCCTGGGGATAAGGGCGTCAGTTTCGCGTGTGCTGTGCAAACTCACATCACAGAATTCCTAAGTACGTGCTAAATTCACTTTATACTTCTATTCTTTCACTGTTATAGTAGTATAATCAACGAATAAGCTTCTAGCACTAGTAGTACTCTGCGTTGATACCACTGCTTACCCTGGGGATAAGGGCGTCAGTTTCGCGTGTGCTGTGCAAACTCACATCACAGAATTCCTAAGTACGTGCTAAATTCACTTTATACTTCTATTCTTTCACTGTTATAGTAGTATAATCAACGAATAAGCTTCTAGCACTAGTGTAATACATCTCTAGCATATTTGTGCAGCATCCAATCTTAAGCGTGAGTTTGCTTTCATGTGTGCAATTGTGCCGTATAAGTTCTACTTTCGCGTAGTTCGTTTTATACCGGGCTTGTTCTACTCTTTCAGGGGTCAATGCGTGTTATCATAAAGTGGTTCTTCTGTTTTGGCACTTGTCAGAGTGGAATGCGCAACTATTTTTCCTCGTCGCATTCATTTGTCACCAAAGCTAGAATTCTTTTTCTCGCGAACTCAGTGTTTCATGTACTTCGAATTTGAACATTAATCGAAGTCGAAACTAAATACTATAACAACAATCTAATACTGAATACTACAATACTCGTTGATCGCTTTTCATAAGATTACTACATGCGAGTAAATGTTTGCATGAAGTGTTAGGGTAGAGTTAACCTTGCTCTGAGCTAGGGTTAAATTAACCCTGATGAATCGCGTAAGTTTAACCCTCCAGGGTTAGTTTAACCCTCACGATTCGTTGATGAATACGGGTTAGTCGCTTTCGGTGTAAAATTAACCCTCAAGGTTAGATTAAACCCTCAGGGTTAAGCCTACCCTGTGTTTCATGAATACGGGTTAAACGCTTTCCAGGGTTAAATTAACCCTCCAGGGTTAGTTTAACCCTCGGGGTTCGTTGATGAATACGGCCACTGGAGTTGCCAGCATGTTCAACTATCCGCCCATGTAACCTCCCAGCTCCACAGTTCAAAATTTGCTAAAAAATCAACGTGTCGATAACGATTGATAGAGAGTAGACTATGACAGGGGCCCCTCTGCGAAGCGTAAGTGCGCAAAATTTGGCGGATTAGTTCAGAAATAAAATCTTCTATTCCGAAAATGCATGAAGACTATTCACGAAGGTACAAAGCAGCATTAGTTGAGCGGATGTAAACGCCGCGCTCTCTCTCTTTAGCGTTGCAACCTAAGTCTCAGGAGCTCTGCGGCTAATAAAAATGGCGTTCACGCTCCTAATTTTGCGCCATCGTTCGGCAGCAGGCGCTTATAGACAGATGGACAGACAGACGTATAAATTGTAAGTATGTTTCTAACAATGATTGGGCCAAACTTTGCACGCATGAATTTTGAGAAGAGGTAGGTGCCATGGGCTACTTTTCTTATCTGAAAGCTACTCAGACAATTCACAGGAACTTCCGCAAGATAAGCAGGATTTGCAGCGATTTCGCCACTTTCCTAACCATTGAGAAAGTGCACGCTCCAAAGTGCGATGTTTCCGCAGGAAATTGACGTCAGAGGGATTACAAACCGGGACTTCCGCAGCACTTTCCATAAAGGGCTGCGAAAATGCCATGAGGCTCGTAAGGTTTCCGCAGCACTTCAACCTGCCAGCATTTCCTCAGGATTTTGAGAGCGCATGCACTTGCGATTGTGAAACAGCGAACATGGGTGACTCACGTGCGCCATCATAGCTCATCGCTTTTGTTTTCTCTAGGTTTTCGCTTCTGTTTCTCTTTTTTTCCCTCTTTTTTTCACCTGTTTCTTCAGTGCTGCGTGAATGAGATCGTCTATGATATTGATAGTACTCTTGCAGATATCTATGCATCTGTGTGAGTATCATTATCAAGCTGCCGGAAAGCTGGAAAAGGACTCGGAGGAGAGGTTATGAAGCACAACACTCTTATCCAGGTATGTTCATATTCTTTGTTTTGTTTAAAGGTATAAATTCAAAATGTTAAACCAAATAATTTTGATTGTATTTTCTAAATAATGAGTTTCGAATGATCCTCGAATGCTGGGTCATTCCGGAAATTCTATCAGAAAAACACATGGGATAAAGATCAGCAAGCGTTTCAAGGATTGCTCAATAAAATTTTTCTGTTTTTTCCCACAGCTACTTTTGGGAGTAATTGCTTTTGTGATTTCTGAGATAACTGCAATTTTGAAACCATGATCTTTACCATGTCCAGGATGGCAGTTTTTTACGCATCTTTTATTTTTGGGTTTTGAACTGCTGGAAAGGGCAGGCAAAGCGCAACACATAAATTCTTTGGCATATTCAGCCAATTTCTCAAAATACCAAATTAATTTTTCTGATGCCTTTTTCAACAAGTTTCATATTTGATTGACAGAACTCCACAGAACATCACAACTTAAGTCTTGTTTGATGCAGCTTTTATCTCCTTGAGAAAACGTTTCTTCTTTACGATTCAAGAGACCTTCAAAGTAAAATCATGCAAAGAAAATTTGGAGGCCCCTATGGCTGTACCCCAAACCTCAAAATTTGATATCTCGCAGCGAAAAAAGCTCAGTCGCTTGATGAAATCAGTGTTATATGATAATCGAGTTTTGAAACTTTTGAACTTTGAAGTTTTGTGTTTGGTGCTTTTCATTATCGAACGCTTTGCGAAAGTGAAGCCTTTTGAAAAAAAAATCATTATGAAAAACTAGATGGCAAACCCGGCTCCGCCCGGGACCAAACTTTGCACACATACACTTCGGGGCAGGGAGCGTGTCATAGTCCACTTTTCGTTATCGATCGATGTCGATTTTACCGATTTTTTGCAAAATTTGAGCTAGGGGGCTAGGATTTTGCACAGGGGGGTAATCGAGCATGCTGATCAACCCCTCCCCACGCTCCCTGCCCCGAAGTATATGTGTGCCAAGTTTGGTCCCGATCGGTTCAGAAATAAAAATTTCTATTCCGCACATACGTACAGACAGACATACAGACATACATACAGACAGACATTCAGCTTTATATATAAGATAGTGGGAAGCTAGTCAGCTGCTCCAAAATTCGTTGCATTGCACTTTTTTCACTCTATTCACACGTTATACAGCTCTGTAAAAGTTAAGCCCGAGAATTTCGAAGGATTGCCAAACTTGGGTGTAGCTGGTGACCACAAAGGCAAACGATTTGAGAATATGACTGATGCAAAGAGGAAGAAAAGTTGCAAAGAACAGCCTTTGAAGTGTTTTCCCGTCTTCACTCCACGGCTTTTTATGCAGGTTGAGGAAACGGAAAGAAAACGACTTAAAAAATTAGCAATTGTTTGGTAAGGATTTGTCAAAAGAAAGGAGAGAGGTGATAATGGGTCTCAAAATTTTTTAAAGTAGTTTAGATCCTTAGTAAATAATGAAATAGTTTTAAAGACTTTTCAAAATTTAAAGCCTTTTAGGCAAGTTTTAAGGACGCGGCTCGCTTCACGACTCGTTGTGCTAAGAAAATCGAGGTGCACACAAACTGGAATCTCAAAAATTCAATCTTTTGCAAATTTTCTTTTAACACATTGACGATCGCTTGACACACATGGTGTGTCAAGCAATGACTACCGCGTGGGACCGCTTGACACACCATGTGTGTCAAGGCTTGAATTTTGGTAAAATGACTGCTAACCTGAAATAAACTCACTCCATGAGCTTTCTTTTGCACAGAACCTAGGAATGACTTCTACTTTTTTGTCAGCCTTTTAGATCTACTGTAAGTGTACTGTAGAGATGGCAGTATACGTAATTATGGTTGAAAAAGTGGGCTGGTCCGCAAAAAGGCCTTGGTCCTAAACGGCAGACAACTAAAAATCTGCATGGTCGTCAATGTGTTAAAGAGAGTGGCTACACGCACTTGAACCCAGCATTTTGTCTGTCTCCCCTGCTCTTTCGGAAAAATTTTCCGCCATTGCTTTTCGTGTATCTGTCCTTTTCTTCTCCTCTTTGCTTCCTCATTTTCAACGCTTTTCTCTCTCACAAATGCCTATCCTCTCACGATACTGCACACCTAAGATATCCTGATAGGGTTTTTTGATTGGAAAATCGAAAATAATGTGAAACGAATTCGAAATATTATACAGTGCTGGCTAAATCTATAGATCCACTATAAAAAACTGCCGTAGTTCATCTGCTCCTCAACAAATTGATCTGAGATTTGGTACAGCTGTGTGTTCAACGAGCTTCCATCAGTGACCGGAGCGGATCCCGCTTTCGTTAGATTATTCAGGAAAAAAAATCAAAAATTTCGAAAAAAGCAGGGTCGAAGGTTGGCCAAGACTATAGATCCACCTGAAATTTCTGTCTGCTAAAATAATTCTCGGCTTCCAAAATCTTTTGTGCATATACATAGTCGAAAGTCAAAGCAGTGGCTTTAGTTCAGCTATGTCATACCTTTATAAGAAATGCTCATCTGCTTTTTTTCACTTAAAAAATTGTTTTACGCGTATTTTGTTCCCGAGAATGTGTTTTTATAAGGGATTCCGCTTTTTGACTGATTTGAAAGTGATAGGGCTCCATCTATCTTATAGATGGTTAGCAGTGTGGGCAGTAGAAAAAAATTCGTGTTTTCGTATCCAAAGCGCAACCGACATAGACCTAACCGCAGGCCTGCATCCAAATTTATGCCTTCAAACTCTTTCTGCAATGTTGTCATGAGCGTGGACTGGTGTAATGACATTGTTAGTATGTATGAGAGTCCGTATGCAGTGGTTGCAGATTTCTGCAGATCCTAGTATGCAGGCTAATTAAGGACTTTGTCCTGCAAAAAAGTGATGCAGTGATGCTTCAAAGTTATTTCTGGTTCTGACCATAATGCTTATGTGAACAAGGCAACATACAATGCAGGGTGTAATCACTAGTCAGCAGCTATAGCGGCAAAATTCAAGGAAGGTACCACTTGGTAAGTACTTTGAGATTGTCGAACACACCGCATGACTTATGCTTTGAAAAAGAATCAAAATATGAATTCGCAAACAATCGTGACTATAGTTTACAAACTTCTTTTTATGTGAATAATGCCAAATAATGCTTCTACATTATTTTGAGCTTACAAAAATAGCGTACACCAATTTTGAAGGCAAAAATTCGAGCGCAGGCCTGCGATTAAGTCTATGTCAGATGCGCTTTGGATTTAAAAACTCGAATTCTTACAAAATTTTCTTATAAAGGTATGACACAGCTGAACTAAAGCCATTGCTTTGATTTTCGACTATGTATATGCACAAAAGACTTTGGAAGCCAAGAATTATTTTAGCAGACAGAAATTTCAGGTGGATCTATAGTTTTGGCCAACCTTCGAGCCTGCTTTTTTCGAAATTTTTGATTTTTTTCCTGAATAATCTAACGGAAGCGAGATCCGCTCCGACCACTGATAGAAGCCTGTTGAGCACACAGCTGTACCAAATTTCAGATCAATTCGTTGAGAAGCAGATGAACTACGGCAGTTTTTTGTAGTGGATCTATATTTTTGGCCAGCACTGTATTAGGTTGTCCCAAAAGTTTTGTCCGTTTTATTTTATCTCAATTAAACTCACAGAACACCAATGTATAGATGACTTAGGTACCATTTGACTTAGATTTTTATCATCTTTCTTACAGCTATCTTTGCTTTCTGATCTAATCTTTTTTGCACTGTTATCGCCATGGCTTTTTGAGCAGCTCAGTGATAACGCCAAATCTTCCCTGAATTTAAAAAAATCTTATCTTGATGTTTCCAGAGAGCACTGGTGAATGTGATGTAAGGCAAACCTTTCGCTATTTTGTTTCTATTTTAGTTTACATAGGCCACGTCCACCAAGTTTATAATTATTTATTTCATAAAAACTTCGCCTTTTCGATTACGTCTACTACGTGAAAGTGCCGAAAATTCCAAAAACTGCTTTTTCAAAGCAAATAAAACTTGTTCATGTTGCATAAATAATGTTTAATAAGAATCATGTTTCAATTCACAGAAATTTCAAAAGCTTTCATATATTTGCTGCCGTTGCAGGTTTCATGAATTGACCAAAAGTTGAGACCTCCGAAAAAAAATAAATTTTAGAAGCTAAAAACAGCAGAGTAGGAGAATATAAGAATATTATCTTGTAGTCCGAAAATTGCTCTATTTGCTCCATACTTAAGTCTTTCCGAGAATTTGGAATAAAATTTTTGAAAATTAGCCCAACTTTGAGCAGACAAAATTGACGGGTGAAACATTTTGGCAAGTATCAAAAAAAGCATACAAGATTGTGGTTTTAAAATGTATAAATACGAAAGAGAAGAAAAAGCTGCATTGAATGCATGTTAGAACTCATTCATGTCTTTATTATGCGTGGTTTTATAAAGGTTTGAAAAAACGGACAAAACTTTCGGGACAACCTAACAGTATTCGAAATAAATCCCATAACATCTCAAACTCTCAGGTTGAACCGAAGTCCGTTTATACCATATTCAAAAATTCGTCTCCTTATTTCTCAACCAATCTGCACATGCCTGTCATGTTTTTTTCAACTGCGGAGAAAAAATTCACTCAATTTTTGAATCCCGTTAAATGTTAGTTTTATTAAGTGCTCTGTGCAAAGTTTACGCTGACAAAATGCCTTTATGAAAAGTTGAGATTTTTGAACAAATGTCAAAAAATCAAACTCGCTGTTTTGTACTGCTTCCTCAAAGGTCATAGCTTTTTGTAGAGACTTTCAATTAGCGCAAACCTTGCACAAGAAAAGCATTCAATAAAATTCATGAAAGCGACTGCTCCGGTTTTTGTTGCAAGTTTCAGTATTTGTTGCAGTTTTTATCCTTGGCTAGAGTTCAAGAAAACGAAAATTTTTATGCTCTTGCCAAACTGATGCTGTGGTGTTGCCGCATAAATAATTGTATTACAGACCTTTATTAGCATAAACGTAGATTTTCAGCTTTCTACAAGCTTTAGTTCTCGAGAATTATTAAGTACAGCTACCCTTTGTCGGGTCTCCTACGTTAAAATCCATATCGAGAACTAAAGCTGGAAAAAAGCTAAAAGCTAAAAATTTACGTTTGTACTTCTAGAGTCTTGTAGTATACAATTACATATGTGGGAACTGCAAGCATCCTTGTTTTGTCAAATTCTAACCAAGGAGAAAAATACATCAATGGTGTATATTAGGTCATTCCGAAAGTAATTTCGCTTTTTTCAAACGGGCGCCACATTTGATAGGATAAAGGTTTTTTTAGAGATCTTGGATGCATTCGATGTAGAATTTTATTCTCTCTCTAATGGTTATGAAAAAGTTGCAAAACAATCAATGAGTTTTCAGAAAATAACCAAAATTTGCGACCCATGCTTTTTGAGATGGTCAAGTTTCACGATTTTTTAAAACTTTCATATCAATCTTCAGAAGGAGTTCAAGTAACGTTTCGATAGAGTAAACCTTATAGAATAAAGAACTGCTTTTTTCCCCTTTCCATGTTTTGTCATACATTCTTAACAGAATTTTAACTGATGCTACCGATTTCCATACTTGAGCAGCTAAATCCTCGTAGAACATCAAAAGAAGAGCAGCTCGCGCATTATTCGATGCAGCGTTTTCTCTTCTTTCTAACAGGTGTTTTTCGTTTTCGATTCGTTTAGTTTTCGGGGATAAATTATCATAACTCATTTCTTAGCGAGCCCCAGGCTGTACCCGAAAAACACGAAATTTGATATTTCGAATCCGTAAACCCTCACTTGCTTTGTGAAATTAACTCATAGTACCATCTTAGTCTCAAATTCCGAATAATCATAATGTTTGATGCGATTGTGGCCGATGTGGGCCTGCAAAATCCGATGGTTCTGTTAAAAAATCTTTTAAAAAATTACGGCGAGTTATGAGAAAGAAACAAAAGTAGTGCTGTATTTTATAAGGTTTACTCTATCGAATCGTTACTTGAACTCCTTCTGAGGAATGATATGAAAGTATTAAAAATTGTGAAACTTGACCATCTTTAAAAGCATGGATCGCAAATTTTGGTTATTTTCTGAAAGCTCATTGACTGTTTTACAACAATTCCATAGCCAGAAAGAGAATGAAAATCTGCATCGAATGCATCCGAGACTTCTCAAAAACCTTTGCTCTATCACATGTGACGCCCGTTTGAAGAAAGCGAGATTACTTTCGGAATAACCTAATATAAACGTTTCATGTGTAAATGCATGGTTGAGCAAGCTGGGATTTTTGTAGGATATATTTGGACGTAGTTTTTTCCCGGTTTTTCGTGCAGTTGAATCTTTTTGGTCTCTGGCTTCAAACTCGGTGGACGGAAGCTGGTAAGCAAAAGCAAGAATGCCGTCTTATAGAGTTTGCTTTGCTCTCCGTCAAATGGTTTCTGGAAGCTTGTTTAGAAATAAGAAGTGCATATCAAAGTTAAGCGGCGGAACTTATGGGGCAATCTGATATTAGAAAGAACATAAATTCTTTCTAGCTTATTTCAGCTCTATCACTCCAGCTTCTGGTTGTCTCTTGGCGAAACGGAGCAAGAGAGGGGAAAAAATTCAACGATTCTTTAGAGAAGAAGGCGTACTGGAACAGTGATACCACGACGTGCATAGCGGACGCGCTGTGAGCTTCTCCAGTCGTACGATTATTCGAATGACTCTATCTACTTACTCTCCTATTCCAGCGAGGACACTCGATTTTACAGACTATACAAAGATCTGATTGCTATAAAGGTAAATAAAGGTAAAGTACGACTTACATCAAGAAATTTCAATTATCATTCTTATTACAGAAGAGGAAGAGCGGAAATCGGTTTACTCGCGCGGAAAAAGCCGAAATGACCCTGATAATTGAAAGTGGCTAACCTTCCATAGGACGCATCTTTCCCTTGAAGCGCACTTTACCTCTGTGAATACTATTATTATTGCCTTTATTTTATTCTTATATCGCTGCTTTTGATTCCTAATGTTTGCCGATTTTTCCTACCCATATTCGCTTGTGTTGCAATCATCAACCTCCCTCTTATGGTCTATTGTGCTTATATGGTGCCTGCATAAAACAATACACCTGCATTTGCTTCTTAATAAATTACATCAGATCGAATACAACATCAAATTAGATACATTCTATCTAAAGAATTTTTACATCAAAGGAAAGATGTCTCGGGAAAAGTAGTAAGTGAATTCAAATGAAGTTTATGGATTGAACTGGTCACGAATAAAAAACGAAAACCGCAAAGCGCTGCGGAAATCCTGTGCACGAGATTGCAGCGGTTCCGCAGCGCTTTCGCAGGATTTTCGCCGGGTCACCTGCGGAAACCCTACGAAAGCGCTGCGGAAGTTCCGGTCAGTTGTCTGAGTATTCTGATTTTTCAAAAAAATTCGAGCAAGAGGTCTGGGGAGTAGTGTAATTAGTACTTACAGGGAGTAAGCTTGCTAATTACGAAACTGGTATTAAGTGAGAGGATTTGATATCTTTTCAATCTTGCAGTAAGACGATGGGAGTTGCCACAGCAGGTGGAGGTGCAGTATGCAATGTACCAATAGCGTTTGCGAGGACAGCATGCTTGTGACTTCCTGTCTTACTCAGAATGATGTTTGAGAACTATCCTTGAAAACTGAACGAGTGTCTAAATCTTCGACTGATCAACTTTGTATACATAAATACACATTCCCAAAAAAAATAGGCAAGAGTAAAGTCTGGTCTAGACAATCATGGATCCACGTTAAGTGACAAATTTGAAAGCTATTTCATTCCACTGAAAAAGATTATAGAGAAAGAGAAAAATTGAATTTTTTGTTTTTGCAGTCATAGATTTACATTTTTTTTCGAAAAACACCCTTATGGGTATGAAAATGAAGCATAAAATAATTACCCTAAAACCCTAGAGATGAAGCCACTTTACTACTGGTTGGATTTTTGCTTCAAATCATGTAGTTGTCGGATAATTTCTGTTACACTTTTTTTTGTAAAATTCTGATAAATTCTGGAAGCACTCTAGAGTTCAGATGAGCTCGATATGTAGGACACGACAGAGTGTACACAGAGATATGACTGATGCCGCAAAACAAATAGCTAGCAAGTCCGACAACTTTTTACGCACACTCAAAACTGTCATTTTTTCTTTGATTTTTCTCTACGTCTAATCATGTTCTTTTCTCTCTTATAATTACTTTATGGAGGCACTTTGGCATCATGTGACCGTGTGCGGACATGATTGTGCCATCCTCCCAAACTCGCTAAAAACAATGAACCCCTGCCCGATTACCCATCGGCCGGTCTCTTCCTGATCACCTGCAAGAATGCCAGCCCTTTGATAAAAATGACCATAAAATGTACTTCCACGACAAAGTGAGCGTTATGCGCACGGACCACTCTGACGGTACCGATGGGTAGACCCTTGCACTCCGTCAACATTTCTTGAACATAAGAATTTTCGAAAGTTCCTTTGTTTTACGAGAAATTAAAAAAAAGTGTAACAGAAATTATTCGACAACCTGATAGCTCCCGACCCGCAAGAAGGCAGACTTTTCTTATATCATTCGAAAATACCCAAAAGCCGTTTCAAATGTCTAAAACTTGTCGGTCAGTCTTTTCCAAGATTTTTTCTGGTCTTGATCTACACTTTAGCACTTCACAGCACTGCCGGATCGGCTCTTTTCTCTTCAACCCATTTCATGTGGTAAGCTTCGAACGCACTCATCATTTTTAAGCATTTCTCGAAAGAGCTCTCTAAGTTCTTTTGAATGTGACATACGGTGAGTTTTATGTTTTATATCTTATCATCTTATATATAAAGCTGAATGTCTGTTTGTATGTCTGTCTGTATGTATGTCTGTATGTATGTACGTATGTTCCGAATAGAAAATTCCATTTCTGAACCGATCCGGACCAAACACATACACTACGGGCCCCGGCGGGTGTCATAGGCTACTTTTCGTCATCGATCGATATCGATTTTATCGATTTTTATCGATTTTTTTGCTGAGTTCACCTACGGGGCTGGGAGTTGGCACAGGGGGGTAATCGAGCATGGGGATTCCGAATACAATATTGGTTTTCAGGATTATCGATTACTTTTATCGATTTTATCGATTTTTTTGCAAAGTTTGAGCTACGGGGCTGGGAGTTGGCACAGGGGGGTAATCGAGCATGGGGATTCCGAATACAATATTGGTTTTCAGGATTATCGATTACTTTTATCGATTTTATCGATTTTTTTGCAAAGTTTGAGCTACGGGGCTGGGAGTTGGCACAGGGGGGTAATCGAGCATGGGGATTCCGAATACAATATTGGTTTTCAGGATTATCGATTACTTTTATCGATTTTATCGATTTTTTTGCAAAGTTTGAGCTAGGGGGCTGGGAGTTGGCACAGGGGGGTAATCGAGCATGCTGATCATCCCCAAGGGGGGTGATCAGCATGCTCGATTACACCCCTGTGCCAAATTCCAGCCCCCTAGCTCAAATTTTCAAAAAATCGATAAAATCGATAAAAGTAATGGACGATCTTGAAAACTAATATTGTATTCGTAATCTGCATGCTCGATTACCCCCTGTGCAAACTCCCAGCCCCGCAGGTCAAACTTTACAAAAAAAATCGATAAAATCGATAAAAGTAATGGACGATCCTGAAAACTAATATTGTTTTCGTAATCAGCATGCTCGATTACCCCCCTGTGCAAAATCCCAGCCTCGCATGTCAAAATTTACAAAAAATCGATAAAATCAATAAAAGTAATCGATAATTCTGAAAACTAATATTGTATTCGGAATCCCCATGCTCACTTCCCCCCTGTGCCAACTCCTAGCCCTGTAGGTGAACTCTGCAAAAAAATGGATAAAAATCGGTAAAATCGACATCGATCGATAACGAAAAGTGGACTGTGACACCCGCCGGGGCCCGAAGTTTATGTGTGCCAAGTTTGGTCCGGATACGGCGGAGCCGGGTAAGCCAGCTAGTCTCTCTATAAGCGCAGGGGGGGGGGCATCTGACGTCAATGTCGGTCTGTCTGTGCCACGTTTGGGTTGTTTACCACTATGCTCCATGAACCTGCACTTTACCACTGCTCTTTTTTGTACAAGTGATCTTTGCCATCAGACTGTCTGTCTTCGGTATTGTTTATCAAGGTTCCCCACGCAGCCACGAGCAGTCAAACGCAGCTACCACAACTAAGCAGTGAGACCGATTACTCCCATAACCGCTTCACGATATTTCGCTTTATTTCGGCTACGATTTGACTCCATTGTCCGAGTCTAAAGACAGGTAATCGACCCAGTCGCGTTAGTGCAACCTATGACGTCATCATATTTTGCGCTAACTTGGTTCTCTCAGTAATGCTAACCATGAAATCGAATTGAACACCATAAACCATCGCCTTCTCAGTTCACATGCAAGCGTAATTATAAGGTTCGATGCTTTTCGAAAGTATTTGATTTTATTTGACCTAAAAACTGTGTGAACTTTCCAAATTGTTATCTACTAAATGATAAAAATACTGTGATGCGAATTATCTTGGAACTCTACATTGGATGCAAAAAGCTCTCTCAGCAAATAAATCATAGGTTCTAACGAAAGACTTCATCTTATAGTTTCGGATTTTTCTTAGAAGACCGAAAGTTTCGGAGAGACTGTGAAAAAAGTCGCTGCTCCCTCCAAAACTTCTATCAACGATCGTGATAGAAGTTTTGGAAAGAGCTACATGTTTCTGTTTGCTGTCAGTTTATAAGGTGTGAACAAAAGAGATGAAAAGAAAGGGTTTTACTAACCATTAATTTAACCCTCGCTGACCAGGGACATGTAGTTTTTTAGCGCAATTTTGTTAGAACATTGCACAACCGCAAAATCGTATAGACACTGTTTGAATGAACAGTTGAAATTGGATATACACTTTGATAGTAGCTTTCTTGATTATATTCAAGTCAGTAGCCTACCAAGACCAGCTGGAAATTGGGGTAGACTCTGGAGTTGGGCTTAATTTCTTAGGTGTTGAGCAATTTAAAAAGCCCATATAGAATGCGAACGGGAGTTTTGGATTAGAATTTTTTACATTGAAAAGACTCTGAGCAAGCTTCCAACAACGCTTTGTGATGAGAAAAAGATGTTCTTTGATTTAGAAGATTTTATAACTATAAGTTGGAACGTTGGATAGAGCTGCAGGGATGTTCGCCGCGGCCCTTTCATGACGGGGACCTCAGGTTTTCATAGGGCCCAAAAGATACAAAGGGAATGAAATGTTAAGGTAGTTTGTAGGGACAGTCAATGAGGAGAGCAGGGCCTCGAGTGAAAAGAGTCAAGAGGAATGTACATAGCTGGGAAAAGCTTGCCGAGTTTGTGACGGCCACTTCGGTCAGAAAATTTCTGAATGTGAGAATTTGAGGGTATCGGAGGATTTTCACAAAATGCGTGAATGAGCCACTTTGGCAGCCACAGTTTGTCTAAAGGTGATCACGCTGAAACGTGGACTCAAAACCGCACGAAAACGTTAAATGCTTGCGCTGAATTTCCTTGGAAGGGAGTTTAAAGAAAAAGTGGGAACAGGCAGGTCCCAACATAACCACTATTAGCAAACAACAGACAAACGGGAAACCTTGGCGCAGCACAATATGTCAATTTTGGCTTGATTCGGGGGACAGACTGTAAAGGCGCAGTTCGCATTTTCTCAATAGCAGCACTTTTGGAGCAAGATTCGAAAGCGATTGAATAAGATCCTAAGGATGTGGAATGGCAGAAAAGATTGGTAGTTCGGGAGTTTCATAAAGGAAACTTTTGGGTGAAAAAGAATCGGGGGAGAGGGGGATGCAGTTTGGCTCAAAGTACTCAGGAAGGATAGCAAGGCACAAGTTTGCAAAGCGCAAGAGCATACGTACCCGGAAAACTGGGAGGAAGCGGTTGAAATTCCGTTGGCACTTTCGTTAATAGAACTTAGGGAAAAAAAGCAAAAAGCATAAAGCAAAAAAGATTCCTGACACTTTGATAATTTCTGGGTTCGTTAAAGTCTAAAAAATCCGTGCCATACTTCTGGCGAAGAAAAGGTTCCCAAGCTCTATCCCTGACAATTAA